TGAGCTCCAAGACTAGACTGGAGAAAAATTAAAAAATTAGGAGGCAGCTGTCATTTTTAAGGAGCACACGGCGCTGCTGGGATTTGTACATCTCTGTTTTAATGTACGATTTTGTTTTTATAAATATAAATAAAGGGATGCACAGATACCAGTTTTGCAAGTACGAGTACTGGTACTTGCCGAGTACTTACAAGTATGAGTACTGATATATTTTTGTTTGTCATGTGACAGTTTTTCCAAAACAATATCAACTAATGATTTCAGGACAATGGTGGAGTGCCAGAGCCAGGTCCCAGCTGCAACCTCTGCAACCCTGGTAGTTCTCATGAAAATGCCAAGTATCTGCACTGGTACTCGAAAAGTATCTGTGCATCCCTACTCTGTATGGTATTGTTCTCCATGCATGCATGTACAATAAATACATTTTACTTTTTAATATGGCCTCAACAGTCAATTTTATTGCAACCCCTGAGTTTGGGTTTCCTAGTCAAATGCATTTAAGTACCTTAACTATTAACAATCTTGTACCTTATTTGTGTATCACTTGGGGCTGTAGATCCTCAAATTATTATTATTATTCAGGATTTATATAGTGCCAACAGTTTGTGCACCGCTTTACAATATAGGGAAGACATAATTACAATACAATTCAAGACAAGATGGTAAGGAGGGCCCTGCCTGTGAGGCAGTGGCGGAACTACCGCTTTTGAAGTGTTATAGGCTTCCCTAAAGAGATGAGTCTTTAGTGATCGCCAAAAGGCAATCAGAGGAGGAGATTAGTATTATACAGGATTTATATAGCGCCAACAGTTTGCGCAGTGCTTTACAATATAAGGAGACATTACAATTGCAATACAATTCAAGACAAGATGGTAAGAAGGGCCCTGCTAGACTGACAGGTTGGGGTAAGTGGTTCCAAAGAAAGGGAGAAACTGTAGAGAAGTCCTGGAGGTGAGCATGTGAGGAGTCAATGAAGGAGCTAGAGAGCAGGAGGTCTTGGGAGCAACAGAGGGCACGGATAGGGTCATACTTTGATACAAGGTTGGAGATTTAACCTGGGGCAGAGCTGTGGATGGCTTTGTAAGTGGTTAATATTTTGAATTTGATCCTTTTGGGTGATTGGAAGCCAGTGGAGGGATTGGCAGAGGGGGGTTGCAGATTCTGAGGGGTTGGTTAGGTGGAAAAGTCTAGCAGCAGCTTTCATGATAGACTGAAGGGGAATAGTCTGTGTACAGGTAGGCCAATGAGGAGGGAGTTACAATAGTCAAGACGAGAGATAACAAGTGAGTGGATGAGCAGCTTTGTGGTTTCATTGGTGAGAAAGGCGCATATTTTGGAGATGTTACTAAGGTGAACATGGCAGGATAGCACCTTGGCATGGGGGGAGGGTTGGATAGTTAGGTTATCAATCATGATGAAAAAGTTGGGGTAGGGTGCACGGGGGGGGATACCAAGTGTTGTGACATCCAGACTGATATGTCAGTAGATTAGTGACACGCAAGGACACTGAGGGGGTGAGTTGTGGAGTGGAGAGATAGATTTGAGGGTCATCAGCATAGAGATGGTATTGGAAGCCATGTGAGGTTATCAACTGACCAAGAGAGGAGGTGTAGATAAAGTAGAGAAAGGGGTCCAAGGGCAAAGCCTTGGGGGACTCCCAACAGAAATGAGAAGAAGAGAGGAAGAGGTAGATTTGTAGGTTACACTAAAGGAGCGCTTAGATAGGTAGGAGGAGAACCATGATAGAGCACAGTCTTGTAGGCCAAGCGAGTGGAGTTTTTTGAGAAGGAGCAGTGGGTGGTCAACTGTGTCAAAAGCAGCATAAAGGTCTAATGGCAAGAGTAAGGAGTAGTGGCCATCGTTTATAGCTGTTAGTAAGCCATTACTTAGTTTTTGGAGGGCGGTTTCAGCAGAGTGTTGGGGGCGAAAGCTGGACTGTAAGGGATCAGTGAGATGCTCAGGCTGTTGTAGATTAGGAGTTCAATTAGTTTGGAGGTGTAAGGAGATAGGTCTGAGATTTTTGAGGTTGGTGGGGTGAAGGTTTTTGGGGTATTGGGGTGACCAGTGCATGTTTTAGAGGGGAGGCAAAGATGCCAGCAGAGAGGGAAAGATTAAAAATGTGAGTAAGAGAGTCTAGGATGGAGCAAAAGGGTGACCGGAGAAGTGGTGAGGGAACATGGTCCAGGGGCAAGTGGTGAGGTGTGTGTCAGAGAGAAGCTTTGTAATCTGCTCAGTGGTGACAGGGTCAAATGAGGAAAGTAACAAGTGTGATGGTGGGCCTGGTACATGAGTAGGGGAAGGTGACTGGGAATTTCATCCCCGATTGCATCTATTTTGTTTTTAGTGGGTGGTGGGGGACATAATAGAGAGTTAAAAGTAGAAAAGAGTTGACGAGGTTTGGATGAGAATGTTAATGAGAGTAACACAAGTCTGTTTTGAAGCACGGAGGGAGGAATTATATTTTAGGAGGGCAGCTTTATTAAGGGTAAAGTGAGAGACCTAGTTTTACACCACACTCGCTCCAGAGTGCGACTATGTCTGAAGATTTCTGGTTTCTTCTGTTTGCCATGGTTGTAGTGGACGTGGTCTAAGTCTGCGTGTTGTGAGCGGGGCTAAGGTGTCTAAGGAGGATGAGAGAGCTGTTGAAGACAGAAGTAGCCATGTCAGGGCAGGACGGGTGAGATTTTGTCATATCTGGACTTGTGCTAACACTAGTTTTCTAATTTGTATCGAGATTGTAGTCTATCATGGGGGTGAGCTTGGAGTGGTGGCTACTTTACAACATACAGAGGGACCATGGAGAACAAAAGTAGCCACCCTCCAGAAAGGACGACAGTGTCGGCATGATTTGAGGATCTACAGCCGAGTCATACACAAATAAGTAAAATTATTTTAATAGTTAAGGTACTTAAATGCATTTTTAAGATTTAACTACTGAGTTTAGTGTCACTTTAAGACTTCTAATGATTAAAACCTGAACAGAATGCTTTCGTTTGACTTTTCATATTTTATCCTTTAATTTTGACAGTGCGAGATAGAGAACAATACATGGTTGCCATGCGCAATATTTATTTCACTAATACAACTTAAAAGGTGAAACTAATATATGAGATAGACTCATTACATGCAAAGCAAGATAGTTCAAGCCGTGATTTGTCATAATTGTGATGACTATGGCTTACAGCTCATGAAAACCCCAAAATCCACAATCTCAGAAAATGTGAATATTGTGAAAAGGTGCAATATTCTAGGATCAAAGTGTCCCACTCTAATCAGCTAATTAAGCCATAACACCTGCAAAGGGTTCCTGAGCCTTTAAATGGTCTCTCAGTCTGGTTCGGTAGGAATCACAATCATGGGAAAGACTACTGACCTGAAAGTTGTGCAGAAAACCATCATTGACACCCTACATAAGGAGGGAAAGCCTCAAAAGGTAATTGCAAAAGAAGTTGGATGTTCCCAAAGTGCTGTATCAAAGCACATTAATAGAAAGTTGTGTGGAAGGGAAAAGTGTGGAAGAAAAAGGTGCACAAGCAGCAGGTATGACCGCAGCCTGGAGAGGATTGTCAGAAAAAGGCCATTCAAAAGTGTTGAGGCCATTCAAAAGTGTTGGACTGAGGCTGGAGTCAGTGCATCAAGAGCCACCACACACAGACGGATCCTGGACATGGGCTTCAAATGTCCTATTAAACTTGTCAAGTCACTGGTGAACAACAAACAACGTCAGAAGCGTCTTACCTGGGCTATAGAAAAACAGACCTGGTCTGTTGCTCAGTGGTCCAAAGTCCTCTTTTCTGATGAGAGCAAATTTTGCATCTCATTTGGAAACCAAGGACCCAGAGTATGGAGGAAGAATGGAGAGGCACACACTGCAAGATGCTTGAAGTCCAGTGTGAAGTTTCCACAGTCTGTGTTGATTTGGGGAGCCATGTCATCTGCTGGTGTTGGTCCACTGTGCTTCATTAAGTCCAGGGTCAACGCAGCCGTCTACCAGGAGATTTTGGAGCACTTCATGCTTCCTTCCGCAGACGAGCTCTATGGGGATGCTGACTTCATTTTCCAGCAGGACTTGGCACCTGCCCACACTGCCAAAAGCACCAAAACCTGGTTCAATGACCGTGGGATTACTGTGCTTGATTGGCCAGCAAACTCGCCTGACCTGAACCCCATAGAGAATCTATGGGGCATTGCCAAGAGAAAGATGAGAGACATGAGACCGAACAATGCAGAAGAGCTGAAGGCCGCTATTGAAGCATCCTGGTCTTCCATAACACCTCAGCAGTGCCACAGGCTGATAGCTTCCATGCCACGCCGCATTGAGGCAGTAATTGCTGCAAAAGGGGCCCAAACCAAGTACTGAGTACATATGCATGCTTATACTTTTCAGAGGTCCGATATTGTTCTATGTACAATCCTTGTTTTATTGATTGCATGTAATATTCTAATTTTCTGAGATTGTGGATTTGGGGTTTTCATGAGCTGTAAGCCATAATCATCACAATTATGACAAATCACGGCTTGAACTATCTTGCTTTGCATGTAATGAGTCTATCTCATATATTAGTTGCACCTTTTAAGTTGCATTAGTGAAATAAATGAACTTTTGCACGATATTCTAATTATTCGAGTTTAACTTGTATCTGCATACTTTATGATTTTTTTGGTTGTTGAAAGCAAGTTGTTGTTTTTTTTTTCACATGTGTTGATGTTATGTAGTTACTGTCAGCAGCAGCTCCACTATTGCTCCAGGTTTTTTAGACTGTGCAAATAACTATATCTGTTTGCTAAAAACAGCAGTTCCAGTTTTCAAAAATCACACATGCTACTGCATTTTATGTGATGTACTGCACGCATCAGCTTGCATTATCTAGCAGCATTGTGTAACGCCTGTGACCCTCATTGTTTTGACACAGGCTGCCAGTGTGTAGAGGATGATACAGGAGAAGCTGTCACCATGCATGCAGCATCTCCAAGGCTTGTGGGCTGAGCAGCCCAGGCCCGCCTCCTCCTCCTTTACAGTGAGGAACTCCTGGGCATGTGACTGCTTGACTTAAGATGGCAGCGCTGTCTGAACCCTTAGGTCTGGAGAGAGGTAGGAAATATGATGCATGTTGCATTGCAGGGGCTGGGATTTTTGCCTGTAGCACTTGATTTTAGCCAGAGGGAGGAGGGTACAGATGAATGGCTTGGCTGCTCCTTCATCTCTTTTTTCCCTTTTTATTTACACTGGCCCTAAGCTGATAATCAGGCAAGTGAGAGTGATTTGCAATATAACCCTGCACTTGCCTCTCCTGTATTCTGCGATTCTGCAAAGCACTGCAGATAACAGCTTTCCAATTATGTCTATTTGCATCAGTAAACATTTAATTCCTCGCTCCTGTGTTTTCACTTTACGCCATCCTCAGAGCTGCCATTTGTTATCGTTTTGCACTTGTCAGAGTTATTTTAGGACAGGTACTGCTATTTTCTATGTGCAGTGATAGAGAAGGATGGCTTAGAATAGCCAGAGATGGGAAAAGGTATCGCATAGAACAGCAGGTTTAAAAATCCACTTGCCCTTGCTTAAATCATGCATTGCTAGAACCCACCTTCATCTCCTAAACAATATCAGAAAGATTGGAATGATTAAATTGTCCAACTGCATCTCAAATCACAAGCATCACTGTAATCTATTGTATTCAGAAGCAGGGATCTGATGATAAAGTCCCGACAGGTGTCTACAACCTTAGATGTACAGTGAGTGTCTAGGGCAGACCTGGGCAAACGTTATAGAGCATATCGTGCAGCACTGCTTTTAGTTTTACTATGTTTTAGGCAGTGGCGTCACAAAGGGGGTGCGTGGGATGCGGCCCACACCCAGTCGACACCATTGGCGGGGTGACGCCAAAATGACTGACCTCTAAAAAAGTCGGGCACTCGGTCATGGACCGAGAGCCGAACATTGTCAGGAGAGACGAGTGGACCTGGCGGGATGAGGTATGCCTGGGGTGAACGTCCCCTCCTCTCTCTGCCGGCTTCCATTGCCAAGATGGGTGCTGGCCATCACATGAATAGCCGCACATGCGCGATTACATCATGGTCTGGTGTCACCCGCTCCTGGTGGACACCCGGCCTCGGGACGCCCCTCATTTTAGGGTTTGTTTACACCATGTCGAGACCAGATCTGGAGCAGATCTGCAAACGCAGTGCAGTGAGTTTTTGACACATTCTGGTGCATTTTTTTAATGCTTAAAACAGGTTTTCATGTGCATTCCATGCGTTTATGTGTTTACATGCATTTTGGTGCGTTCCAGACCAGAAAAAATAGTGCATGCAGCATTTATTTTCCTTGCACTGTAACAGACTGCACTGGTGTGAACAGAGCCCCGGAATACCATAGAAATACATTGGAATGCATGTCAGGTGCAAACAAAAACTGTTCTGGTCCGGACATGGTGTGACAAGCCCTTAAATTGGAACTATACTTTGAGTGGTGCTGAGCTCTTGAGATTATATGCAAGTACTAAAAACCTCTACTTCCTAGTGATTTTTGTTGTTGCAGGATTTGAGTTACACTTTAAACGGTTCAGGTGTTTCCACCTTTGCAGTCAAACCCACACTATGGGGCCTATTCACAAAGCTGCCAAAGACAGCCGAGTGAATAACCGAGCCGAAGTGAACAGAGCCGAACGTTGTTCAGCGGTTCACTTCAGCTTGGTACGGTTGATTTCAGCCGGATATGTGCTGCATGTTCGGCTGAGCCGAAGTGCACAAGGAGATCCGACATCTGGATCGGCTGAGCTAAAGCTCCGACAGCTCACTTGCTGCCGTTCGCCCCTATTTTCACATTCTCATTCGGCTCCGCTATTCTGCTCGCTACCTCCAGGGTAGCGAGCAGAATAGAAATAAATGTAAACAAATAAAATAAAAAAAAAGTTAAAATAATTTAAATAAGAAAAATTAAAAAAAGTTAAGAAAATAATTTTAAAGAAAAAAAAAAACAGCGTGGGGTCCCCCTCCCAAACCATTCCAGACCCTTAAGTCTAGTAGGAAAGTTAGGAGGGACAACATTTAAAAAGAGAAAATGTAGGAATTTTATCGTAACAATCGCCATAGCAACCCAGGCGGCTGCTATGGGGCCCGAGCGCCTGGGTCGCTATGGCATATCAGGGTGCTGGCTGTCAGGAGGAACGCACCGCTGTTAGATCACCGACAACCTGTCAGTGATGTGTGCAGCGGCGCGTTCTGCCTTACATCCGCCGCTGAGCCGTGTCAGTAACAGCCAGCAGCTGCTGCAGAAGAGACTGGACCCAGGGTTTGCAGTGAAGGAGGAGGCGGGGCCCGGTCCAGCGACCTAAGAGCAGCGGCGCGTTCTTCCTTACATCCGCCGCTGAGCCGTGTCAGTAACAGCCAGCAGCTGCTGCAGAAGAGACTGGACCCAGGGTTTGCAGTGAAGGAGGAGGCGGGGCCCGGTCCAGCGACCTAAGAGCAGGAGGGGCCAGTGATGTAAGAGGAGGCGGGGCCCATCGATAGAGGAGAAGACGGCCCGACGATGAAAGTGGAGGCGGTTTAGGTGCTTCCCTCCCTTGTGAATGAGTAATGGCTACTTTTACCCATTCACTAAATTGTTAAATAAAAGTCTAAAAAAAATATGCCAGACTTTTAAAACCTTTTTTTGAAGAAAAACCCCCCCAAAAACAAAGGATTTTTGACGATGTATGGACAATGGATCCACCGATGTAATCCAGGGTCAATCACGACGTCCAGCGTTGTCCACGACGTTGACGACTCAACAAAATTAAAAAATAAAAATAATTTAATAAAATATAACGATAAAAAAAAAACTTTACCCGACCGCACGCGACAAACTCCTACTGCAGAATGAAGAATCTGACAGATGCTGGCAAAATATAAACAATTGGGCAAAGCTAGTGGTTTACTTTTGTCCAGCACCTGCCAGAGTCTTCTAGCAGGTCCTGGGCAAAAAAAAACTGGGCAGAGCCGGTCATGACGTACTATAATTCGAAGGTGACAGGCTCTCTTTATGAGCCTGCTGTCCAATACAGTAGAAACAGCACAACATTGTGCTCTATCTTCTGTAAAGCTCTGTTTGTAAAGCTATTTAAAGATTTAAAGTACCAGTGTTTTATTACTTCTCTGGACCCGTGAGATTTCTGGACTTCCAGGGGCGTGTGCAGGGAGTCTAGAAATCTCACAGGCTACTGCCCGTACTACTACTTGTGATAATGCCCTGTATCAGCCCTGATACTAGTATCGGTATCGAGACATCCCTAACCTCAAGCAGCTGGGAAACTTTTTGCTGTTATCTCTAACCTCAACACACAAATAGGTCCTGCTGAATTTTGAATATGGCCTGTTGTTAAACGATCTCAGAAGCTTCTCAAACTGATTAAATGCAAGCGGAATGCACCTGAAAGCAAGCCAAATTTGCTCACTGACACTAGCCTTTAGCTTTAATGCAAACCTAAACCTTTACATTATCCTTAACCACATCCAGCGGGTTCACGTAATTACACATCATCCGCTGGAAGTGGTTATATCAAGAACACGGCTGCTGCTGCCGTGTTCTTGGTACCGTTTTAAACAGCAGACAATTGTTGTTTAAATACAAGCGATCTGGCATCTGTACAGGCACCGTATCGCTTGTGAGGTGCTGTGCCGTGTCCTGCCCCCTCCGCTGACGTCCGCTTGACCAGGCTCCACTGTCCCATGTGCGAGCCTGGGAGCGGCGTGATGGGTCTCCGCCAGATGAATCGGAGAAGAGATCAGTGGCTTCCAGCCGCTGATCTCTCCTCCGATCACTGGACCCGGACATGATGTACCTTACATCACTTCCGGTGTCACTGCCCATTCTGTAGGTCCATTCTCTGAGTCTGCAGGGGCTGCTGACATTACATCCAAGATGGTGGTGCCCAGCAGCAGTCTCAGGTAAACAACATGGATAAAATACATTAAATTTACATTTAATCCTATGTGAAGATTCTTGTTTAAATAAATAGTCTGGTGGCAGGATCTCATTAAACTAGGTGTAAATCACAACTGTGTATCGTAAACAACTTTCATGTTATTTTCTTATAGGGCCTATTCACACTATGCGTTTTGGTGGTGCACATGAATTATAGCAACATGTTATGATTTGTTTAGGTAGACCGTTTATTTTGAAAGAGCTGGCTGTACACCTAGGGTTGCCACCTTTTCTTCAAGTGAAACCCGAACATTCTTGCACCGCGTGCAGCAACTTTTTTTTGGATAATATAGAGCAGAGAGCGAGGAGGGGCAGCCAGGAAAAAGAGCAAGAGGAGACAGCCAGGAGAGGGAGTAAGTAGACCGTCTATAGAGGACTACAGCAATACATTTTACAGCAACACAAAATAATATGAAACTACATACTCTGGCCTGGTGGGCTGTGCACGCTCTCGGGTGGGCTGTGCACGCTCTCGGGTGGGCTGTGCACGCTCTCGGGTGGGCTGTGCACACTCTCGGGTGGGCTATCTGGACTATGGTGTCTCACCAGGGGTCTGCAAGCGGGGCAGCATGGTGTCAGGGAGCCAGAGGAGGATATGGCGATGTGCGGGCAGTCTGTGCCTGTTTACAGGTGGCCGCAGCGCAGAGGAAGATCCGGTTTCAGGCAGATGCAGCTGCCCGAGATTGCGCTTGCTGGGGACCTCGGCAGCTGCATCTTTTAGAAAATTTTAAGTGCCTGTGTCGGCAATGAGTGTCCTGTGTCCGGGTGTCCTCAGAGAGGTAATTCAGATTGGGCACTTTAGCATAGGGTTGGTGATACAGTGCTCCAAGCAAGAAAATTAAAATGGGTTTAGATCCCCACTTTTTTAAAGCATAGTTCATATAATCCGAAGATGAAGCATCAAATGCTTTGTGGATTTCCATCCCAAGAATCAGGCCTGGATATTGTTCTTCATGCATTAGATGGATCACTTTGAGAGTATTGTTTGAAGTTTGCCTGTATGGGACAAATACCACCTGGATTTTATGGATTAACAAATATATAAGAGCTAAGTCTGGTCGTGAACATTTTAAGTAGTATTTTAAAGGAGAACTATGCTTTTCACTCACCTCATAGTTCTAGCCAAC